TTGTTACATGCGTGCGAATTCGACATATAATTTACGAAATTTTGTGTTACTCAGTCATTTATGGGAGGGGGCTGTACACCACCCTACCAAAAGTATACAACATTTTTTAAAATTTACTAGTAAAACATATGAAAAATCTCCTTCGAAAATCTCTATTGCAATAATTTTTATACAGTTGTGAAGCTAATTGATTGTGCCTTTCGAAAAAAAAAATAGTGATATATTGGGTCTCGTTATCAAAGTTGCAGTTCGATGAAGTGGTGGTATCAATGTTAAACACATGATTTTCATACATTTTAATGTGTAACATAGATATCGCCACTTCATCAAATTATTACTTGGTTACAATAACTAATCGAAAGTACACATTATTTTTTTCGAAAAGCACAATCAATTAGCTTCACAGCAGTATAAAGATCATTGCAATTTATATAGTAAATGCCTGCAATAGAGATTTTCGAAGGAGATTTTCATATGTTTTACTAGTAGACTTTAAAGAATGTTGGTAGGGTAGTGTAGTAGACACGGTTATTATTAAAGATTGTAAAAATTCCATCGCTAAAGTCATTGCTGTTGTTGCAGTATTGTAGTGTAGTTTAGTATTGTTAAAGTGTGTTAATAGTACATATAATAGTTTTAAATTAAATATTAAACGCTAATATTAAATAAAAAACTATGATCTGTAATGGAAAATATATAATTCATTCTACTATACTTGGGAATTTTTGAGTTTGTCTTTGGCACATTTACTTCTCAACAGTTTCTTTTATTCGTGATAATTAAAAGTCAGCCCCAGCCGATCCATTGTTCCATAAAAACTTATCTACTACTACCCATTATCACCTCGCTCTAACTCGTGATATATTATTCAATGGGGAGTCGCAAAAGCCAACTATAAGCGGGAAGGCTTCTGCTGAACAAGTGGGATTAATAACAGTACCACGAGATTTCGACATTTTTTTCGCTATCTTCACCCAAAATAATTACCTGGATATAACAAAATTTGACTATAACAAGGTTTTAAATCTGTCAACTAATAAGAATATAACGAAGTTTTTCGATAACAAACTTCACATGATGTTTGTTATAATTTCGATAATATTTACCATTATTAGTAAATTAGTAAATATGCATACCACAATTCTTGTCATCCCCAACGCACGAAACTTCATATTTATCATAATGGTTAAAGATGATGCGATAAAACTTGTTAAGAACAAACGCCACGCACTTGGGGACATCGGAAAAAAAATTGCCAAATGAAAAAGACAATCCTTCAATTAAAAAGCCGATTTAGCGAAACAGTTTGGATGTGCTGTACCAACAGTCAGTAAAATAATGACTTTATGGCTTAATATTGATGAGAATTCCAACCACTGGTACATTTAAAGAAGACGCCAAAGTAATTTTCCTAATATGGAAGAGGCGTTGAGTCTTTGGGTAGAAATGCAGTCAGTGACAAAGTGACTTTAACATCAATAAATTAAATTGACGGTAATACAAATTGCACGTGATTGACCTGTTTATAACGAAGCTACAAGGGAATTGTATAAGACTTTCCTTATAAAGAGGATACCTGGATATAACGAAACCTGGATATAGTGAAGAAAAGTGCTGGAACAGACCACTTAGGTTCACTGTGTATCTGACAAAAAATTTTTGTCTAAGTAGTAAATTATTCCTCCGTTAATCTGATTTCATTTTAATCTGTCACAATTATTCATTATATTAATTTACCAATTCATTAAGATTTGGAACAATCACTATATTAGAATCTCTCACATATGAACAGCGAGCGGAACATTATAATATAGGAATTCTACTCATATTCTTCTATTCTCCGCGTTTGATTTGTATCACATGCGGAATCACTTGAGGTTTCGAGAGGATTTTTTTGTTTTTGATCTTAGCCAATAGGCTTGAAGGAATCACTTGATATTGCAAATAAAATGGTCATATTAATAATACCAAGTTATGTCATTCATTGTTAATATCTGGTCTTCTTTACCACAATATAGTATACTAACCACAATATCACGAATTCGCTAGCATCATATTCAGCAATCAATTTCCCAGCATCAGAAATAGTGTATCTAATGCTATGAATTGACGGCGAGTCACTTTATATTTATTGATGTTGAGCATGTGGACTACAAATCTTAAATGCTTTACGTCCGCATTCTCAAAATCACATGGATAGCATACTGACGAGCTTGTCTCCCCAACCACCTTAAGTAAGTCCACAGTCGCCTGATTTGTTTCGCATACGAATAGTAATAACCGATGCCCGCATATCTGATAATCTCCCCCGGGATGTCTTTAAACATAGCAGTCACCGTGATAATGTTTGGTGACAAGTCTATATCGAGAATCTAACTGAGAAACAACACCTGGAAGTATTTATTGTCAGTCAGCGAAAACGACAGATAGGTGTACTGCCACTGGTAGGACCGTATGGATGGAGGCGTTGTACATTTAAAGTTCTTGATAATTCATTAGCAGTCTTGTTATCAAGGAGAACATAATGTATGCACCAGAACAATAGTGATACACATCTAAAGTTACCTGATTACTTTACATATGTATCCACTTATTATACTAGTATCTTCATCAAGTTGCTTATGTGGTGAGCCAGTTTTATTTAGTTATTTTGACTGCATGCACACACGTTCTCGTGTCTCAGTTCTGGACCGAGACAACTGAGTTCTAGACTGAGTGACTAGACATAAAAGCAACAATAGTAGCGATCATCATGAAGTCTAAACAATTCAGCTGCAACTAATCAGACGGTCTATCTATTATTACCCCTTCATCGTGTTATCAGCCGCGGTAGCCTGATATTCAATTTCAAAAGACAATATTATACCTTTGACGACGTCAGCAATCAAAAAAGCAACCTTGTCTCTCATTAGAATTGCTTGTAACATCCACATATATAGACCCATACACAACAGATAACCGTATCACCAAACAGCGCAAACACCCGAAACTGTACAATCAGTACAAGGATCTCGGTAAAAGTAATGTATTTGAACAAACTCTCCAATAGAAAAAGGTATTTGTAATGGCACTCGAAAACCTATTCCCGATTACGATAAAGATTCCTATTTGTTCAAGCAACATTCTAGAATGCAATATCCGTTATTGGATACAAAACACTACACTAAAATTCACAAATTCTTCCAACGTAGTTTGTTTCTTCTTTTCGCAGGTAATGAGTCTTCTGAGATTATGTAATCCCTTCATTAATGATGTAATTATTTTGTCGAATATTATCATCGAGTCCACGCGATGTCTTGTATTTATGGATAAAGCATTTTCTCACTACCAATGGCATTGCAAGTATCTTGGTTCAAGCTTCCAATCTCATCACAATTGAAGATTGTAATTTTGCAGAAGTGTTTAAAGTTTATTTCAGAAGCGTGGAATATCATCTCAGTGCACTGCCTTATGCACTGCCGCTTCTCCTTTGCGAAAGGGAATTCCTCCTCTTAAAGTTAGTTCGGATGCATTGGACTTACTGATTATTAATTCCAAGCTTTACCTGGAGAATGGGCCAGTTACAGTTATTTTATTTTTAATCCCCCTTCTACGCACATAGACATTGCTTCTTCGATGTTAGGATCGTCAAGATTCAACCAATGTTCAGAACGGTTGACAATGTCTGATATGCGGATTGTTTGCTTATTCCATATACTTTAGCCAATTCTGTCAAGTTCGGCTTCGTGCACCACTTAAAGTACTTTGGGTCATGCTTTGCGGAACTGAGTGAGAGTTAGTATTAATATTATATACATTGATTGGTCAGATCTCCGTACTAGGCGATAACGTTTATATCGAGGTCCGTAAGTTCCATTTGTATCATGGCCGATCGACTAGTGGGATCTACGATGCTACACCAGTAATATAATAACCCCTATGCTCAATTAACTTTTTTTTTTTGAGCAGTTAAATTTACTGTTTCAAAGATTGGTAATATGCATTGACCGCCAAATGGCAAATTTATTACGGTACGATTTACATAACAACTTTTAATTTTGGAAAATAATCCGGACTTTGCCGCTGTGCGGCAATTGGTTAATAAATAAATAAATGATGTTTCGTAGTCCCTATGGCGTTAAATAAGAGACAAATGGCAAGGAATAGTATATATATGGCCTCTGGCCGAGAATTATCACTCAAAGAAAATTTTCCTTGTCATCATGGGAGTGTTTTACAACGTTTTCAGCAATATTACATTTACCGATATTTTGACCGGATTGCTCTCTCTAACATGCATATACGTAATACATTTCTATTATAAACACTTTACCCGCGTTAATCCATTCCCCGGCCCAACGCCAATTCCGTTGATCGGCAGTCTCGCGATTTTCATGGAAGACATCGACGCCTGGTTTTGGAGATTAAATAAAGAGTACGGACACAATGGCGTATACGAATTGAATATTGCTGGCAATAGGCAAATCGTCATCACTCGCGCGGAATATGTCGACAGTCTCGTGGCTACCGATACAAAGGCGCATATTATGAGAACTGCAAATAACGGTCTATTGGATCTATTTGATCTTGAAAAGAAAGGAGTAGGATTGAATCACGATTACAATTATTGGAAATTTAATCGTCATATCTTTACGCAAGCTATCATGCCATTGAGTTTAACCGATAAACCGAGCATTATTTTAAACCAACTGTATGAAGAAATGGCACAACATTGGATCGATTTGAAGCAACAAGGCGAGAAGGGAGCCGTTATCGATATCTCTGTTTGGATGCGTCATTTTACGGCGGATTTTATATCCATGTTGACAGCTGGCAGGCGAATGGCTGTCATGCAGCATTATTGTCAGAAACTAAAGAATGAACCGCTCACCGAAGAAATACTCGATACCGAAGAGTTTGTCGCATGCATCAATAACTTTGTATCAGATAATCAACTTGTATTTGTACCAAAAATTTTAAGAAATTTGCCTTTAATTAAACCTCGTGTGGACAAGCTGCTGAAGAATTGTAACCGATTTTACGAGAAACTGGTGGATATTGTTAAAGAAAAAAGACAAGAAGTTGAAAAAGCAATCATGCACGGCGAACTTGACACGAAACGGATGGATTTGCTGACATCTTTAATCATTGCCAATACACAATACGATCCTCATCCCCAAGAAAAAGTTGATCCATCATTGACAAGACCAATGACTGATGATGAAATTCGTGGTGTCATGTTTGACGCGTTTGTTGCCGGTACAGATACGGTAAGCAATAATAATACACTGCACTTATTCTGTTTAATTCAATTTGTTACCAACGTTGATTAATCCGTTTATCCATTTATTTAGACCGTAAATACTTTTTGCTTTGCATTATATTACATCACGCATCATCCAGAAGTTAAAAAGAAAATGCTGGAAGAGATCAAGACTGTGTTTAAAAACGACCCAGACAGACCGATAACATTAGAAGATCTTGCAAAATTAAGATACGTTGAAGCGATTATTAAAGAAACGTCAAGGATAAGACCTACGGTTAGCATGGTCTCGAGATACAGTAATCGACCTGACGAAATAGCAGGACACGTGTGGCCGGCCAACACGTTATTTATAATGTACGTTCGTGGAATCAACAACAATCCGCTTTATTGGAAAGAACCTGATAGGTTTATCCCGGAAAGGTTTTATGGGTCTCAAGGGATACATAAAAATTCGTTTTCAATGTTTGGTGGAGGTCCGAGAATGTGTCTAGGTAGAAAAATTGCAATCATCGAATTGAAAACATTATTGGCCGCAGTATACAGAAATTTTGATGTCGAATTGGTAGATATGGAAGCGCCCGTTAAAGTAGAAACTTCAACAATCACAGTCTGTAAAGACTTAAATATTAGAGTTATTCCTAGAAAACTGATCAACTGATTTTTAATAAATTAATTTAAATTCGCATTTACACAGTGAACCGGGATATAACGAAGGAGACGGTGCGAGGGATTCGTTATATCCAGGTTTCATATGTGTATATATATATTATCTAATTATGGCACTACACATTGATATATTATAATCATTATTGTAACGTTGTTCAATGCTTACAAATTCATTACATAAAGCATAGACTGCTTTGTGATATTGTTCTTCTCAATTTAATCAAACATATAACAACAGACAATTCTACTCTATGATTTTTTCCGAGTAAAACGCTGCTAAAATTTCTGATCCGTCCCGATTGAATGTTTGACCGTCAACTATTTGTTGCATCATCAGCATACAACGATGGTAGCCTTTATAACACAAACTTCGATTTAAATATGACGGTGTGGAGGTTCTCTTCGATATATCCAATATCGAGGGATTTACAATTAACTTCGTTATATCCAAACAATTTTACCATTAAAATTTTCCGTGCAGCAAAAAGCTTCGTTCTAAGTTCGTTATATGTGTATTACGACGATTATGAGTGCGTGTGTCACTATGGTCATAATTAATACCTACTTATATCGTTTTTTATAGTGTCCATGCTTGGTGGCACATCGTTCTGAAACCTTCAAGTCATTTGTCTTTGTACAGTTAGTCATATTCAGTTTCAGGCGTCAAAGACAAATAATGGACAAATTAATAATAATCATGGGAATCTCGGAGGATTTGAGTAGCAAGCGTTCCCATGCATTTACGAAGTGTACCTCATTTACGCGCAAAATGTCCATGTTAAAGGATCAGATAGTACAGTCAGACCTCTCTAAATGCAACCTCTCTAAATGCACACACTATACAAACTCTCCATAAATGCACGGTATGGTTCAGTCCCAGCTTATAAGAACATTATATATTTTGCTCTCTGTAAATGCACACTCTCTAAATGCACACTTTTGGGTTTTTTTCACTATGGTCCCGACAACGTGCATTTAGAGAGGTCTGACTGTAGTAGGAAATTGTCGTCGAAATATGACTACTATTAATATTAATATGCATATGCCCGACGCGTGGGTCTGAGAGATTCAGACATACAGAACTTGTGTTTAAAATGTTCCACTTTCGCGAGACAACTGTCCTCAGAAACATGAAGTACATGCACTCATTCAAGGAAGATCGATGGTACACTCCGGTTAACATGAATTCCTCTAATACTAATAGTAAGCTAACATTGTTACATCGTTGACGATATTTTGTTCTCTATGCCCCACCCAAGTGAATTTTTTTATTACAACAGTAGTAATTTTGCTCCTGCCCACACTAACAAAATAATTGTTTCGGGACAAAAAGACTAATAAAACAAGAATGTAGATTGCAGACTAAAATTAAAATATCTATATATGACTAATCCAGTACATGATGGATAAGAATGCAGTATTACAATTTGGAATTAAGAATACATGTGTTGTAAATCAAACAAGACAAACAGTACATTTGATAGGAGAAGTTAGTGCGTTTAGCGAGAGATCACACGTATTGAATGATTTCTGACATATTGATGTCGGCACCTGGCCTGTGAGCGCATTAGAGGCTAGGTTCCTAAGAAAAGTCGCAGACAAATGATAATGATGAGTGATGGTGTTTGTATTTCATCTCGTTGAATAATCGTCGAAACAATTGTTGATTTACTTACAATATCAGTATGTTCATGTTACCGATACCGTCAGGTATTCCACCGCTAAGCTTATTGCTCTGCAGCGACAGATCAGTCAATTTCGTTAGCTGCGTAATTGAAGGCGGAATGGGCCCGGTCAATGAATTCGCCTGCAAGGATAAAAACGTCAACCCAGTTATTTGTGTCAACGAGGTTGGAATCGACCCCGAAAATGCATTCGTATTAAGGTCCAACGTAGTCAGGGTTGTCGGGAGAGCAGGAATAGGGCCTGAGAGCTGATTTCTACCAAGCACTCTATGGAAAAAAAAAGTATCCATAAATATTAGAACAACTAAGCAAACTGAGAAAATGAATAGCCCTTAGTTTAACGATACATGAAAAATTGTATGTGCTTACAGAGAGGTCAAAGATTTCAGTTGCAGAAGCGAGGCCGGTACAGTTCCAGTAAACTGATTAAAGCTCATATCCCTAAAGAGAAAAAGTGAAAAGTAATGTTAATTAAAAACAATGTAATAATACTAACAATCGGATGATTAATACATACAAATTTTGCAGACTTGATTGCAAAGTCGCACTATTTCCTATACCATCAGGTATTGTACCTCCTATGTTCTGGCCAGAGACTGCCCTGTAAAAGAAATACTAACATTAGAAATTCGACCCACGATGACCAACCACTGTAGATATCAAACAGAAGACTTACAAAGTATTCAAAGACAATGACGTAACGGAACTCGGGAATGTATTGCCTAATGATGGATTTCGTATTAATTGCCTATAAAAAGTGAGCGACATTTAAAATTAGTATTCACAACAAGTTGTTGCTAATATATGTGTCGACGTGAATACTTACAAAGATGTCAAGGAAGACAGTTTATCGAATGTATCTGGCATATTAGTGAGAGCAGTCAGCTCAAGCCTGATGGTAGCCAGATTTTTGAGCTTAAACAGACTCGTTGGAAACGGGCCGCTTGGAGCTAGAGAATTGCCCGTGATCTTTCTAATCACGGGTTAAACAAGCAAATTAGAAAATTGGTAAATAACGAGTGTTGAATATATTATCAAGTTATAGATATTGTTAAACTTACAGGGTTGATAATTTCTCCAAGTTGCCCAGATTGTCTATGAAAATGTTCGGTACATTTGGAAAGCTCATTTGTAACGCCACAACCCTTCCTCCCTGGTCACACGTCACCCCAACCCATCTACAAAATTCATTGTTTTTCATCCAGCCGGCCACGGTCTCTATTGAAGTCACGTTAACCGCATTGGCCCATATCCCTTTCAACACGCAAAAGTCTGTGATGTTGGGGGCCGCATTTGAATCGCTGGTGCAGAAATCGCACGGAAATTGTTGTGGTTGCAAAGCAAAAGCGCTAAAGAGCGAAATGCAAACCGCGTTCTTGACTTGAACGGGAGGAGGAGCAAGAGGATCGGTGGCAGCAGTAGAATTAGCTGAATTAAGGAGAGGTTGGGAAGATCGAACATCCAACGCAATCATGTTACCGAGCAATAGAAGTATTATGATGATTAAAAGGATAATTAAACAACAATTTCTACGCTTCTTTTGGATCTTTCGTTTATCCTGGATTGTCTGATTTAGCTCAATGTCTGTTCTTGTCATCGGCAGAGTTTTATCCTCCCCACGCCAGAAACAAAAATAGAATGGCCAAAAGATTGGACAACATATCCACTTCCACCTTTTCTTCTTTTTACGTTCATTGTCCCCGCTCACATTCACCGTATTCACCACATTCTCTACATTTTCTACATTCTCTATGTTTTTTATATTAATGTTTCTGGTGTTTTCAATGTTTTTGTTAGTGTCGTTAACAAAGACTTCAGTCTTTCTCTCACTCTCCAAGTTGACTTCTACCCCAACCCCTACTCCATCGCTGTTGACTGGAGGATAGAGCACTGCTTCGTCAGCAATATGCGTTCCACTCAATTTCTCAACGTTCTCAACCGCTCCCTGGTTAACACTTTTCAGTATGGGAAACTGATCGGACACGTCTTCAAAATTTTCCGGGTCTTGAAATAGAGAACTGTTGCTGGTAGCTCGCGTGTTGTGGAACTGCTCCTTTATAGTTTGTCTAAAGGTATTTGGGGATGCATCCAAGAATTCCGAATCGTTGGAAAAGTCCTGAGACTCTGACTCAAACATATATTATAGAATACAATATATGTTATTATTAATATTATTAGAAAAGTCTAACTATGGGAATATAGTGAGGAACGTAATTGAGCAAAGGCGAGGGCTAATATTATGCGTATAGGAAAGAGAAGATTAAGGCAGCGGTTTGAACAGACCGGCTTATTCAACCGTGTGGGAGAGAAATTGACGTTTCGAGGCTACAAGGAAAAGCCATGGATGCGACCTTTTTTTTTTTTAACCATAATCAAAACACGGAGTTGTATGCTTATTACTATTTTGAGAACATAAGAAGGGTTTGTTATTATTATATTGCATTGTTCCTGATGTATGACTTCGGGTTACACCATGTAGGTAAGTTGATCTTGATATTAGAGTTGATACTAATGAACAAACTAGTACTAACGTCAAATAGGATATATAAAACGAGAAGATTTTTTTTATGGGGAATGATCGCCAATGTTATGGTGGCGTTTCGGGTGTTATGCACTAGGTTATCGCTTGTCGACGAAAAGAATGTTGATGGTGTGACGTCTTATCTTATTGAGATTACTTTATTACTATCTGCAACACAATTACAATCATATAATCTTTTCAGCTAATATTTCCTTGAGAGAGGTAGCAACATTACGTATTTCCTACATGGGATACTCCCCTTGAATTAACTATTTGCAACTTGTGCATTCTCTACGAGAGATACAGTACACACATAAACGACAAATTAAAGATAAAAGATAAATAATACAAACAGTATTCGCATATATATATAATATTAAATGTATTAACTATAATAAGAGACAACAATATCGCAATTGTTAACAACGTCTAATCCCTGTTCTACTCATCCCAAGTCCTTACGAAATTGAAAAAAGTATCGGTTTGGGGCATTCGATGACGCGATTTACAGCATAGTCAAGTCGTCATCATATCACTGGTTTTATTAGTGTAAACTATATAATATGCTGCATTCCATTCAGAGTACGTAGGAGAACTCAATTGATATTCCTCCTCCAAACACTCACCACCTAGCATCGATTCAGAAGCAGTCACCGTATTATGATTGAAGATTTGTATGGGTGAGTAAAGCGCATTTGCCGATTGATTTAATAATAATGTTTGTATCTCAATTCCGGAATCAGTTTTGTCATCTGTTGTGACTGGCGCAACAGTTGAAGGAACAAATGTCGCAGGCTGTTCATGTGGATAAAAAACAAACGTAACGGGTGTAATTACTTCCCAATTACATGCTGGTACCAGGGCGGTTGTTGGTGTTGTTGGTGTTGTTGGTGTTGTTGGTGTTGTTGGTGTTGTTGATGTTGTTGGTGTTGTTGATGTTGTTGATGTTGTTGGTGTTGTTGGTGTTGCTCTAGATGTTAAAGTATCATCTACCTTCTTTTTGCTTGTATCAAAACAATCCATCTGAAAATACAATTTCTCAACCTCTATAGAAAAACTTGTATACCATTTCTTCACTTCTTCTGATTCCTGTTTCCAACTCCAACCAATCATAGGCGACAAGTCAGTCATGGGAAGGTGATAACCTTTATCCTTTAGATACCGCACATACACATTACGGTACATAATAAAGGCATTTGGAAATCTTCCCAAACGTTTCTTGCGGGATAATAATAACTTTGATACAAAATCTTTGATATCGATTTCTGGTGGAAATGATAATTTAATGGGAGGGAGTATCGGAGTAGAATTTTTGGATGAAAATCGACTTTGATGTTGCAAGATTCTATCTTGTCTTTGTGTCTTTGGTGTGGTAGTCCTTGTTGAACTCTCCATGATCAAATCCAGTAGGTAACAACAAATGTTGAGGTAAGTCGGAGGAGAGGCATGAATAAATGTGAGGTGTACTTATGTCAGTTATATGGAGTACTGTCTACAAAGGCTTACTATAATTAGTACCTCACAAACAGTCGGATGATTGCCAAACAAAACAAACATTAAACTCAATGTTTTGAGAAGAGCAAGTATCAACCTGCCCTCTTGTTACATACACATCACGTATCGGTGGCCTGACATCTGACGAGAATTCTCTCATATAAACTGTCGATTGCCAACGAGATATGACTGATAATTGTAAGTTTTCGTATGTACAGTTTTAAACTATAGTTGTGTAAATAGTTTACTCTTTTGAAAATGCAGTGAATAAAGTCGTATCATATCACTATTGAGATTGGTCAATCGATGTTTTCTTATGTATCGATGACTGCAGACGGGTATATCTGAAAGTGACTACGCGATATATAATTTTGGTTACCGCCTTCTCCATTAGTGTTATCTCATTGTTTTGCGCCATTCTGGGCATTATTGTTTATCTCAGATTTGGTCTCTCTCAAGAAAGACGAAATTAACCCATATATGGACAAACAAAGAGTGTGCTCTCTTGTTTTTAATCTTGATTAAGAGATCATCTGATGGAATTCGTCGGACAAAAACAAGCCGACTGAATGTGTCATGTAAACAACATCAACCGAGATGGTATGAGTAGAGATATCATTATGTGCATGACAACAAATAATATATAAATTTAGAGCGACTATTGTGATGTGTCTATTACTATGGTTATTTATAGATTTCCGACAAAATTGCTAATGTATTTATATATGCCTTGATCGAAATTAGGTTGACTCAAAATATCTCAAGTGTTTTTAACTGAGCATATTTTCTCCCCTTTACATATTTTATGCTTCCAATATTTAAAGTGCAAACATATTATTTTATTTGTTTACTCACATACTATTATTATGAAATAACTTGTTTGTAAGTTGGTCATCGCATTATGTGTATAGCAGGAATATGAATCAGCTTTATGAATACAATGATTACTATATAGATTGCCATGTCATCCGAGTTGAATAATATCCATTGAGTAATAGCATTGCACTCATCTTATTACCCTAGAACGTATTCAATATTTGCTGTATTGTGTGATATCTCATTTATTTTTCATCACGTATTGCACGAAACGGAAGTTTCTACATCCGTAACCATATTTTCTTGGCACCTGCGCGAGCTCTATTTTAGCTTGCGCCTGTTATTGGTGGCACGCTTGATCTATGCGGATGGACCACATAATTATAGTGCATAAATACCAAATACAAATAATATTTTAATGATTAGTAGAGCACTTTAGATAAGAGTCACCGTATTAGTATGCTTACTTTATTTTATACGATATCCGTTTATGTTCATATGTGGCAGATGATGTTTTTAGCTTGAAGAATATGAAGTTAATAAGATTTCTATTTGTAAGCGTAGCTCAAAAGCATTATACTGTACAACGCTATGATGTGTTACACATGGACATATGCGGAACTGTATTACCACTTATTATTATGTCACCATTATTAAGCTATTGTACTTATTGAATTTTCATTTGCTACATAAACCGATAATAACGATGACAATACACAATAATTGTTAAGCTGAAATAAACCGTAAAAATTAAAGAATCTAGCTAATACTAATAGCGACGTATACGGTTATTGTATATACACTCGGACCAGAGCATTCCCACGATGAAGCGTCGATTCGGCGATTTTTATTTATAGCATTAGCATTAGCATTAGTATTGGCATTGGCGTTATTGGACAATGAATACCAGACATTAAACCGATGGCCATGTCATAATAATAAGAAGGAACAAACAAACCCCTTGTTAGAGTTTATCACCTTATTACATAACATAGTTTCGCTTCCGGGTAATAATTAACGCTCGCTTGATCGTTTATTTTTCAATGTCTGTTATACAGTCGACGTTGCGTTTAGAAATAAAGTAAACGCTTTATTGCCATTTTTTGGTGGACCAACGGGGCCATTGTATACGCTAATTGCGAACTTTATTTCATGACACCGTGCGCAAGACGAGAAAATTATTGTGCATCATTTCAGTCCAATCACACAGCAGTATTACTTAATATCTATCCTTATAAGTATGTTTGCAGGGCCCTTAACCACTAAAATTTATGTTTATGCCCCTGAGGATTTCGTAATAGAAAACATTAGTTTAAACTTTACCATTTCCCCCCGCACTATAATTATATAATCAACGTCCGTGTTCATCGTAACCAATGCGCATCGCGAGCGTTTCTCTGTAATTTCACGATTATGTGATTAGAAATGCGCTTAATTTCACAAGAGTCCGTTTTCGTCTGATCCCTCGAATGATTTAAAAAATCAATCCGGACGCTTGAATAGCGCTTTGACTTTTTCTACATCTTTATAATCTGAACTTTCAAGTTAATTGATTTTTATCTTAAAAAAAAAAAATGATTTCTCCACAATCCGATTACTCTTTTCTTCGTAAGTAATCACTGATCGGTGGGCAACGCCATAGGAATATAGTAATAGTCATAGTCATAGTAATAGTAATGGTCATAGTAATAGTAATAGTAATAGTAATAGTAATAGTCATAGTAATAGTCATAGCCATAGTAATAGTCATAGTAATAGTACTTTCTTTCTTTCTTTTTTTTTACAGCTATTAGTTTCACCAGATTTTTGATTGACCAGTTTTGTCCTTCTTTTCTCTTGCTAATTAGAGCGCGCAGTAGCTGGCTATTTCCTCCTTCCTTGGGCTGCACTCCATATCTACTCTGTTGACAAATTTGATGCTCTACGGTGGCATCGCATTCGACGCGCCGAAGTCAAATCCTTGATGACAATACTTTTCTTTATCTGTCTTTTCACAATCACATTGTACGACTCGATCGCATCGTACCTTAAATACAAAGAAGGCTTTATCGTTCTTTCTAATGGACAGGCATTAGCTAAACCAACATCAATGTGGTCGGATGAAGATATGCGCTTATCGAATACGGATACCTACTTACTGATGACATACTTTGCAATTGAAAACGCGGGACTGTTCTTGTTGCAAAATTTCTGGAATTATTTGACTGGAACCATTGTTCAAAAGAATTTCATCGAAAGTGCACATTTCAAAGTCAATTATACTTTTGCGTTGGTTGCCATCATCGTTTTCCCTTTGATTCCATTTGTTTTCCGAGATAATGTATTGCTATCTCTTGTAAGTATACAACCATTTGTAAACCTATTCTTCCCTGTTTCCTCTATCACCAAGGTATCTAATACTTGATGACATCTTTTTTAGGTAATGCCAAGATTATTTGCAGTAACATGTAACATTCCTATAATTCTTTATGGGATCAGAGCACACTACAAATTCAGCCAATTTATCAACGAAAGCAAAGGGGTGCTCGATGGTCAACTAATAACAAGCAAGCTTGTATATTATAGAGATATGAATACGCGCTTTATGACTTGTATTGCACTTGGCACAGTCTCATTCTTCATTCTCTCTATCGATGGATTAACGCCTGAGAGGAGACTCAACAGCAATAAATTTATATCTGATTTATTTGCTAATATCGCTAATTTTGCACACACACTCGACTGGATTATTCTCAGTAAGTAGCAAGACACAACATATAGACGCTAATGTAAATACAAAGACTAACACCAGCAAATGTTTTTTTCCACATTCAGCTTTTGTCTTCTATCCCGGCAACCATTTCAACTTAATTCCCACGTCTTCGACCACAATTAGATTCGTGATAGAAGGGGACAATAACGCTACGTCTGCAACTACACTCCCAGCACTAAACTTTGAGAAATACAGCTTGACAGAGACAAGCGATGAGAAAAAACTGGGGCACGTCTAATTAATCATGGAAAGGTGTCATTATATTTTGTAGAAAAAAGAGTAACCTAAAATTCATACAATTTTCACAACTGTATCTTTAAATATTTTTTCGTTTATTCGCATACTTACAGCAAATGGCGACTATTTAGTATATAACGTAATTTAAATGCTGCGAAATTTGTATGACAAAATCTCTTGACGAGATAACCATTGTCACTACTTGGCGCACTATAACAATGCCAAATTTATTGAATAAAATTGCGTTGTTAATTGTAGAGAAGTCGCGACTTAAAAGCAATGGCATATCCCTTTCGTGAAGCTTGATTTTAAAAGCAAATAACCCCGCGTCAGAAAGTTAGCAAATGCTTACAGAGACAAACCCCCATCTGAATGTCGGTAGTTAAAACACGTTAGAGAAGGAAACGAAGATATTGGAGATTTTCCTCACACAGGAAGACCACCATTGAAGACTTGGCACGAGCAATTTAGGCAATTTTCCAAAAGCAGTATATCACAAAACTGGGGTAACTGGCATAATGATAAAACTTGTGGGTTTAGTATAATTTTATTGTTATTCTATAGTAAATTTGTTGAAATAACGACAGACGAACCAACTATTTCCCATAAACAAATGCAATATTCAGAGTATATATTTAATATTTAGAATACAAACAACGCTACGGTTATGTTTAATCAGTCTTCTGGCGCCTGTAGGATTCTCATAGTATTTGTATTTCCGAGACCTTTGCAAATAAAAACACGGCATTAGATATCAAACATCGGAAGGAAACATATCGCTAAGTCTACTAACCTCCTTTCCATCCCTGGATAGCAATTACGGTATCTCCAGCATGAAGAACTCTAAAGTGGACAAAGAATGATACGCGTTCAGCAGAAATATATATATAATTCAGATACGCTAAAGTTAAAGTTCCCAACTTTCTACCGCAATTAATCTCCCAAACCAACAAGACAACTTCAACATACCCAAGTTGCACGGCTTGTGACATTCCCCACATTATTCGACTCTCGACGTCTTCTTGCCAGTCATCTTTACGAGGCTGATCGTAAATAAATGGATAACATCCTCTACATAAATGGACTTGTCTAGCTGTCTGAGCATTTCTCGTCACCGTGATAATTGGACATTGTGGCTTATATTTAGAAATCAACCGAGCGGTAGTGCCAGAAGTCGATAACACAAGAATGCATTTAGCCTGCTGATCGTGAGCAGCAGATACAGCAGATGAAGCTACTGTTTCTGGTATATCTGTTGGCGTGGCGGTTAGAGCTCGCAGTTCATTGAACAGTGGTGGATAACAGATCACTGATTCAGCCCTCACACATGTCTCGTGCATCATCTCCACTGAAAAAAATAAAAATTTATTTGCTTAGTAAATCCACGGATATGAACCGATACAGTCATAGTGTATGACTTGGATGAAAAAAAAAAAAAATACCAGTTTTGATAGGATAGGCCCCTTTGGCCGTTTCACCAGATAACATAACACAGTCTGCCCCATCGAGAACGGCGTTTGCAACATCGCTTACTTCTGCGCGCGTCGGTCGAGGATTATACTGTTTCGTCGAAAATGTATTGGTAAGATGTCGGGGCGGGAGAGAGGGGGGGAAACAACGACAAGACTAACAATAGGAGAAACCAAAGACTTACCGTCATAGACTCTAACATCTGTGTGGCACTGGGAAAGCAGACAAAACTCGAGTAAGTCAAACATTCCATACGTGGAAAAATCATGGCAGATGAACTACAATTTCTCACCATATAACAGGCTTCCCAGCAACGTTGCATTTAGAAATCATCATCTTTTGAGCAACAAATACCTGCGATGCTGGAATCTCAATCCCTAAATCACCTCTTGCAACCATAATTCCATCTGCCTCTCGCAAAATCTCATCGAAATTGTTAACACCTTGATAATTCTCTATCTTGGCAATGACCTTGATAACCTTTCCCTCTTCTCCGAGAACAGCTCTCACTGCCTTAACATCATCGGCGCTACGTATGAACGAAGCGAATACCATATCCACCTTATTCTCAACTCCAAATTTCAAGTCTCCTTTGTCTTTCTCAGATATCGCAGGAAGATCAACATCTGTTTGTGGTAGGTTAACTCCTTTCTTACTGCTTAAAGTGCCAGAATTTAAAGCTTGGACTTTCAAATGGTCATCATGAACTTCGAGCACCTTAAAAGATAGGATACCATCGTCGACGTAAATTACTTTCCCAACATCGATAACTTTGGAAAGATTCTTGTAGTCGACGTAAAGCGCGTTGAGGTCACAACTGTTGGCATATTTGTCGTCGACGGTAATGGTCATTCTGTGACCTGCTTTTATCGGGAGCTAGAAAATCGTTTGGCGTTTCTTAAAACGAGTTTGATGCGAAATGAAAAACAAACGAGCAATCTCTTACCTCAATATTGTCTTTCATAATACCAGTTCGTATTTCTGGGCCTTTCTATAGGGTCAACGGGTGTATAATACAATAATTGTTGATCGGCATGAGATACGTGGTTTAGCGTTTACAAACGCAAATTTGCATTGTAATTACCGTATCGAGAGCGATAGCTACTGGTCGTCCGCGATGCACTTGAGAGAAAAAAGTGTTGTCAAAAATATAATCATGATACAAAATCTTTCAGATCCCAGTAATAAAGTACGATACTTACGTTCATGACTCTTTCGGACATTATCGATTACCGATTTATGATACTAATAAAAGTTTCGAATTTATTAATTACACAATTCATTCTCTCTTGGCCAAATACGCGGACACTTGCCTCATGAGATCCATGCGAGAAATTTAGTCTGACAATATTCATTCCCGCGCTCCGCAATTCTACTATCTTTTCAACACTATTGGTCGAGGGACCTTGAAAAGCGTGGTTAACGCGAACATTAGTCTTCAGTAACAATGTCTGTATGAGTACAAATGGTTATGTATATACCAATAGTGCAAATGATAGATGTCTTGCGAATAATTTGTGTAGGGAAGTCGAGTGTCAATGATGTGATCCATCCAAGACGACTTGTTTCAGAGGACATGGTTTTTGAATATTTCTTATAGATTTAGGAGAAATTACAACGACGTCCTTGGGTTCTTTATATCACAGTCTTCACCAGACAGATATTACATCATCAGCCCGATAAGATAGATCAAAGGCGCGCTAGCTTCAAAAAGTATGCGGTTTGTTATTCATCTGATTGATGGTAACCAATAAAATTGGCTGGCACACGCCCGTTTAACACTCGGAACACACCTATCTAGCAGTCATGAACATGATTTTTACTCCAAAACAAGCGATAAACATTCTTTTTGTTGAGGCACATGTTGCTTTGTTGAACTACACCCAAGTAGTACATAGATCGTCCGATTGATCGGCAGGTTAACAATTCTCTTTATTCTCTTTATTATCCCGTCAACTTTTGATCTGTCCAAGTCATCAATGCAAGTGATGAAGAACTTCAACAGGGTATTATCACCATCGAAATTGAAATTGGCACCCCGGGTCAGTCTATTGTAATAGTCTTTGCTGCTGCGCCACCAAAGATCAACCGATAATCTATAGATGAAATAGATAACATCTGATAATAATATTTTGGTCACTATTCTTATTCTGGGATTTTCGCCTATTATGTATTAAACTAAAAGAGTTGCCTACGATCACCTGATCTGAGTTCTTTTTTTGCGTAGCGATCGACGATCGTCCGTATTGGTGTGGCCGATGGATGCAGTCATTGGTTGCAAGTCATGTAATTTCTTACACGTTACTTCCCACCCCACCCTATTGCTTTAATAGATGGAAGATGCACGCTCCATATTAACTTTTATATGTTAGACAATAAAAGAGCATAGTCTTCCATCAAAACCTTAGTAGTTTGGAGTTTACATGGGGCAGACTGCAACAAAACCAGACAAAGTGAACATTTGACTGCATGAGCTAAAAATCGCTGATGCGGCTGAAAAATCGACTACTGGAATTTAGCTAATGACACCATCCAAAAAGTTGACTGTTTAAGACCGGGTATATAAATTTTCTTTTTTGGGGTTTCCATATTGAAAGAATCATTGTCTCCTTACTAATGAACGTGAATAAGATCGCCATCTCTCAATATGTTGAAGAACGACCTGAATAAATACATATCCATTGTACGTTCTCCTATGATATACATACTTTATCTTTTTCATCCAGATAAATCCAAACCCAATCACTCCAGTCATCGTGTATAAATATTTAACGATGGAGATGACTGGGAAGAGCTAAGATTTTTCACCATCATCTGCCGTGTATAAAATTTTGATGGTAGAGATGGCTGAGGTGGTGAAATGTATGTTGGGATCCAGATATTGTATGCTGCAATTGAAATGATGATACATTGAAGATTATACGAGATACCAATACAGTGAACTGTGAAGATACGGTGGAGAGAACGCAATAACAGTAAAGTATCAACAGCAAAAGCATTTCTAGACTATGTGCTTACGTTTCATAAATGCACACAAACAACTGGACTATATCTTGACGTCGTGCTAGTTCTTCCACCTTCTTTCAGTCACAGATAGATTACTTTCAGCTTCATGTGACTGCGCATGTACCATCTTCCATTCTCTTTTTCCCAGCACGGATACGGTCATGAGTAGTGGTCGTAGTCACGAGTAGATGTGGTCGTAGTCGTCCGTGATGTCTGTTCAACCTTCATTCTTGAGAACAGATTTTAAAGTATTCCTCGTGTTCCAATAACCATCAATTTTTTAAATTGCGCTACTAGCTCAGTAGGCGGCATGTTCTGGATAACCATAAATGCGTAAATTTGCTGATTGCGACAGCATTCCTATCACTCAACATGTATTCGTACCTGTACAATATTTAACACCATTATTGTTTTTCGCCCACAACACTTTCTCGTAAAACGTGCTCTGGTGGTGCAAGCTTTTCTAGTGTAGCCTTTGTCACATATTCCTTGGCTCGTTTATTAAATACCCATAAAAGCCCTGAC